CTAACGGAATCATTTAGGAAACCCTATGAAAACAAGCGCTTCTTGGAGGTGCGTCTGCGACTGTTGGTCTGCGGGTTAGGTTAGAAATAAACTCGTAAACATCATATGCATGCATGTTATTTGAAGGGGTAAAAACTGCGCACTGCATTTGAAGTCAATACAATGGGACAAGCTGACGGAAGGATCAATTTGAAGATGGATCGTTGTGAAATCATTTATTTTATGCTCTCTGCTTTTATTGGTAGGAAACTTTTTGTGGATTGAATGTTTCAAGTACTTAGTAACTTAATAACTTAGTAACTTAGTAACTATTTTAAGGGATTTAACCTTGATCAATGAAGTCTTTTTTTTTTCCTTCAATAGTCAACCATGTTTTACCATAGCCAAATAAGCACCAACAATTTTGTTTTATAAGAAATTTTGATTTAAATCTTTTGCATGTGTAACTGCACCTGACATCTTATGAATACTCTGAAACTTTAAGTCTTAAACAATTATAAACTGTTCTTTAATGCCATTTTTGCTACGTTGTATGTGATTCACTGTGAACAGAGCCTTAGGCTGGGATACCACGCTATAATAAGACCACTTTATTAATTATAATAATAATAATAAAACGAAAGTCATTGTTATAGAGGAGCTTGTTTACATAATTTTTCTCGTGCGTGCCCTATGATTGACCCCGCATGAGACGCTGTGTTCACAAAGGGGTGTGGCTTAGTCCTTTGATATATTCGTGTTTATGCCGCCAGCTACTATTAAAGGTAAATACTCAAAAGGGCTGAGATTCAATCTCTTAGAGCCCTGGACATGATTTCTACGGCGCGCTTCATCTGCTGAGCGCTGCCGTAAAGGAGATCATTAAGGCAGGCCTCCGGATTCCTACCGTCGGCCCCCGTCCCACTGTCCGGACACGTGACAACTAAGTGGGCTACTGTCTCCTCTTCAAGTCCACAAAATCGGCACAAAAGTTCCCTTCTGTTGTCGAGTCGGTAGAGATAACTTCGCGTAGCGCAGTGCCCAGTTCTCATCTGTGTGATAAGGCTTTGTTCTCTACGACTAAGCTCCCACCACGGGTCGCTTTTGCTCGGTCGCTGAAATTCCAGGTAAAACTGTCGTCCAGTAGTGGCCGTGTCCCACTTATCAAGCCATTTTCTCCTGAAATGGTCTTTCAACCAGACAGTGACTCCGAGCTGAGTCATGGGTTTGTCTGGTTGAGGTAGGGTTGCGCCTTCTTGGGCTAGGAAATCGGCCCTGTCAGGAAGCGACGCCTCTAAGCGCGAAGTGATAAGCTGGAAGACTACCTTGGGGCCATGTGCATGGATGGAGCCTACTGTCTCCAGAATGGCCGTGATCTTTGTCGAGCCCACCGATCTCTCCCCCATGAGTTCGAGAGCAGAACGAGAGTCGGTGAAGACCACAACGTCCGGGAAGGACTTTCGTTTAGCTAGCCGTTGGTGCAACCTCTTGAGAGCTACCAGTATCGCCTCGATTTCCGCATCGAGGTTCGTTGCATTCCTACCGCATGGGCCTGATAGCTCCTCGGGTGGGGCTATCTCTGCGGGATACTGGATAAGGACACCGTAGCCGCTACGTTTTTCCTCCGTGAAACATGAGCCGTCTGTAAAGACTTTAACCAAGCTATTCGGGTAGGCTTCAATCGTGCGTCGTACAGCCTCTGATGGGTCTAATTGAGGACTGCCTTCGCTGGCTTTGGCATCAACCGTTTCCAGTCTAATGTCTGGTAGGGGAAGGCTTTTGTGTGGCCCCCGCGCGGGGATCACTTTCACTTTTTCCCTGTTTCTGGGCAAAATAACGTCTTTCTCAAGACTGTGAACCATGTCCATGAAGGATGGTCGCTTCAATCTAGACTTTTTCTCCCATTCGTCTTGTAATTTGAAACAGGGATCCTTTCTGTCCATGCGGCGGTAACGCTCTATCGTCGCAAGGACCGCCTTCTCCCGCCTGACCTCGAGCGGTTCGACATTGGAAATGATCTCTACCGCCGCCGTGGGTGTGGTTCGTATCGCCCCGCATACAAACCTTAGAGCACGGTTTTGGATGCGGTCCAGTTCCTCTAAAGCCGTATGGCTTGCGAAGGCTAGGACGGGCAAACTGTAGTCCATTGTTCCTCTCACACTGCTAAGGTAGAGCGACCTCAACAGACTTGCATCTGCACCCCATCTGGTGCAAGCCAGCTTTTTCACCAAGCCCAGTTTTTGTGAAGCCTTGGCGCATAGTTCGTGTACGTGGTGATGGAGTCGGAGTTTCTGATCCAACTTAATCCCCAGGTAAACTGGAGTCCTGTCCCATACCAAATCTTTCCCATTTATGGAGAGTTTAATATCGGCCTCAAGCACCTTTCTTCCGTTAGTGAACTTAGAGTAGACCGTCTTCTCAGTGTTCACAACCATTTTCCACCGTCTCGCATAGTCCTCGATGCTATGGAGATCGTTTTGCAGCCGGTTCTGCAAGTGGTTGATGTTTGGCCCAGAAGTCCAGATTACTAAATCATCAGCGAACATGGCATTATCGGACACTAATCCCTCTTGCAAGTCATAGACATAGGCCAAGAACAAGGTGCAGCTGAGGGCAGACCCCTGGGGGAGTCCGTCCTCTAGAGCAAGCCGCTTCGATAGACTATTGCCAACCCGTGTGACAATAGACCTGTCCTTGAGAAAGTCCGTCACCCACCCGGACATGTTTCCAGTGACACCCAACTTCTGGAATTTATGCATGAGGCCAACGCGCCACACGCGGTCATATGCTTGCTTGAGATCAAAGAAAATTGCCAACGAATGATTTTTCTTCTGGAGTTCATTGGTCATAGACTGAACAAGACGGACCACCTGGTCCATGGGCTGCCTGCCCTTACGGAAGCCACCTTGCGTCGGTGGTAGGTGCTTTCCACTCTCCAAAAACCAGTAGAGTCGTCCATTCACCATTCGCTCGGCCACTTTGCCCACACAGGACGTCAGCGATATTGGCCTGTAGCTACCTGGTAAATGGCCTGGTTTTCCCTCCTTTGGTACGGGAACCACTATGGCCTGCTTCCACACTTTCGGTAAAATACCTGTAGTCCAAGTTCGGTTAATGAGAGCCAGCAGAAGTTCTCTCCCCTGTTTACCCAGGTGGGTTAACATTTCATTGTGAACTTTGTCTGGGCCTGGTGCTTTCGCCGGCAAGCACTTTTTGAGCGCGGTTTGCAATTCTTCCATTGTGAAGGGAACTGTGAATATCTCAGGGTGGGGTCCAGTACGCTGGATACGAGCTCCCCTTTTCTTCAGACGGCGGATTTCCCTGTGCTCGTCAGTCTCCTTTCTTACTTTGGACTCATTGTTCACTGCGGCAAAGTGAACATTCAGTACATTGGCTCTTTCCTTGTCGCTCGCCACGACACCCTTGTCCGATAGTACTGGCTGCGGGTTTTTGGCCTTCCCCGCACCAGAGAGACTTCCGAGCAGATTCCACACCTTCCTACCGTCCAGAAGATTGAGTTTTTCACACGCACTAACCCACTTCGACTTTTTCGCCTTTTGGACAGCTGCCCGGACCTCAGCCGTAAGTTGATTGTAGCCAGCACGAGCAGCCGGTGTTTTCTTCCTCGCGGCTTCTTTCCGAGCTTTTGCTCTACGCTTCACGAGTTTTGCAAGCTCTTTGTTCCAAAAAGGCTTGTACGGTCGCTTCCCGGTCGTTCTCGGGATCGTCACACGGGCGACCTCTAGGAGGACGTCATTAAACTTCTCGAAAGCAACATCTAAGTCTGAGTCGGCCACATCGACTGCAATTAGTCCGAGCTTGGTCTCGCACTGACTTTGGAAATTTTGCCAGTTGGCTTTATGAAAGAGCCAGTGGCGTTTATCGCACTTGGTTTTGGCCTGTCCCAAGTCAACCCTAAGCAGTATGGGCAAATGGTCGCTCCCAATGTCGTCAAGGACACTAAGGGCCTGATGTCCCGCGAGATCAGCGGACACGAGCGTCAGGTCTGGCCTGGACTCCGTTCCATGGCCGTAATGGAGAAGAGTGGGCGTGCTCTTCTCGTCCTGAAGCCTGATAAGGTTGGTCTCGAGACAAACCTCTTCCACGTGCTTACCAGAGCCGCTCTGGATAACCCCACATGGGGGATTTGGCATTGAAATCTCCTGCAATTATAGTCCTTTTAAAGATCGTCTCCCCGTGGGTGGGGATCGTGATCACATTGCTTGGAGAATTGTAAATGTTCGTCAGGGCGAACGTTTTCCCACATTTGGTGACCTTTACTGACAACGTGTCAGTGTTTGCGTAACGTTTACACTCAATGATCTCCACCGTGAGATCATTGCGAACCGCTGTGGTAATGCCTTGGCATCGCCAACACTTGCAATGGTATAGCGAGTAACCAGTGATATGAAACGGCTTCCCGTGAAGCATTGTTTCTTGGAACAGTCCTACATCCACGCCGTGCTCGTGGAGTAGTTAGGTTACTTCGTGTGACTTTTGCCTGATTCCACACACATTCAACTGTAGCACAACCAGGGAATGTTTAAGGTGTCCCGTGCCACCTATTCGTTCTCGACCAGTCGCTTGTTGGCCTCGCACGCGCCTGTCAAGCGTCACACGTGCGAGAGGGGACGCCCTCCCCAAGGGGACATCCGCGGGGAGAGGATGCAGTCCACGCACCACACCTGTAGCTTTACTCGGTCCCACCCAGTCTCCCGACAGTGGGTATCGAGGGCCTTTTGAGGAAGCCACGGTCGGAAGGGAAGGATCGTGTCCAAGCCCCCCCAGTCGAACCTGCGTTAATGATAGATTTGACATGTTCATGAGTAATAGTGGTTTGAGCAAAATATCTTCCTCCCAGTGAAAGAGGGCTTTGCGTCGCCCCCCCCCCTAGCTCAGTGGGTCCTCCGGTCATGGACGTGTGATCTTTCGCTTCCGGAAGCATGTCCGTACTAGTCTGTTACGCCACGAAGAGGCAGATCACGTGTACACCACTCGAGCAAAGTGGTGCCGGTTTCCCCCAGCAAAAGCCGACCGGGGGACACCGAACAGGCCGCCAGCTACTAAAAATAATTAATCTGTTCCAAGTAGTATTTTGTAGAATGAATGTGATTTTTCTAGAGACGTCATACGTTTTCTGAAAGGCAGGGCTTACGCGACCTATATAAGGGATTGACAGGCACGGACGGAGAGACGGAGATTCAGATAGATTTTATTAACTTTACGAGGCGTGTTTTACTCATTGTGTATTTGTGTGCTCATATGTGTTTATTTCGCATTATTTATTGGCACATTATTCTAACTGTATTAACTGTGTACAGGTACAAGATTGTAATTATATTTTCTTTTCTTTTGTAATTATCTTAAGACTTAATAAATCTTAATTAATTGTAACTAGAAACTGTTTTGGGTGTCGTATCTTAAAAGTTGCTGACTCAATGGTATCGTCCTTGTTAGGCACTGTTTACAACGAGCCAATTAAAATTAAAATAGGAGATTAATTTCTCCCAATATAAGTCAGTGCATAACAGTCATCATAAATCTATATCGAGACAACGGGGAAATATTTGACATCAATAATGTATAAATGTATATGTATTACATTAACTTTTTTAACATAGACAGGGTTTTTGCTATCCTTATTCGTGCCCCCCACCCCCCACCCCAAATCCTCATATTATAAATCATATGGATAGAGTCTGACATTCTGTGAACACGCCAAGCTATTTTTAAATATTTTCTGGGGGGGGGGGTTGTTTATTAAACACAGTCAGTTGTATTTTTTTAAATACAGCTCCGTTCCTCCGCAAACACCCGTATTCTTTATGCTCCCATGACACGCACTCAAACATACTGTGAACGATCTTTCTCTTTCTGTGTCCCCAAACAACGGTATTCTCTCCCATTAAACATCCTCAATATACCGACCATCCAAGACTTCAAAATTGCCCTCATGGCACATCTCTTCAAACTCTATTATACCGAGTCATTCTCACCCCGCCCCCGCCCAACCCCGACTGATGAACAACGCTTGATGCTGCTGGGGGCCGTCTATGGCTAGACAGGGGTAGATGGTACTTGGGTGTGAGCTGTCCATGGCTAGACAGGGGTAGATAGTACTTGGGTGTGTGAGGTCAATCTTTTTACAACGCTGTTTTTTTTTTTTTTTAAATGTCTAATTTTTTGTAACGGATAATTTTTTTTTTTTTTTGAAGCGCTATGGGCCTAGCCCTTGGCTCTTTACTTTACTTTTAATAATAATATTTTGAAAAAATAAATTTTTGTTGTTTTACAGGGGTAGATAGTACTTGGGTGTGTGAGGTCAATCTTTTTACAACGCTGTTTTTTTTTAAATGTCTAATTTTTTGTAACGGATAATTTTTTTTTTTATGTGAAGCGCTATGGGCCTAGCCCTTGGCTCTTTACTTTACTTATAATAATAATATTTTGAAAAAGTAAATTGTTGTTGTTTTAACACAATCAGTTGTTGTTTTTAACACAGTTATTGTTTTAACACAATCAGTTGTTGTTTTTAACACAGTTGTTGTTGTTATTTTTAACACAGTCAGTTGTTGCACAGTTGTTGTTTCTGCTTTAACACAGTTGTTGTTGTCTTTAACACAATCAGTTTTTGTTGTTGTTTAATATAGTTAGTTGTCTTTTTCAAACACTGCCAGTTTTATTTTTTGAAACGTAATCAGTTGTATTTTTCCTACTTCAACAATCGAAGAGATGCATAGAACAATTCTGCTATGATTTTTTTTTCATAGGTTATCAACGGGAAACATTTAAAATTTAGATATCGCCCTTATTATGGAACTAGCAAAATACCCGCACTTCGCAGCAGAGAGCCTTTTTTAAAGAAAAAAAAAGGTACAAAATTATCAAGTATCCGCATATTCCGGATACTATACAATGCATTCCCTTGCGAAAATGAAACCTGCCTCAAATCAATGCAAACTTTTGTAGGGTCTGTCCTTGGGACCCCGATCCTGGTAAGACCCCAATTCTAATGAGTCCCTAATCCCATTCTGAACCCGATCCCTCCGCAATCCATTTTCCCGGTTTTATCCCGTTCCTGTTGGAGTCCTATTTCTTTGTGGCTCCGGATCCAGGGGAATACAGATCCCGTTTGAATCCCGATCCCGTCGGTGTCTTGATCCCATTGAGATCCTGATCTCAGTGGATCCCGATGCGAAACCGATCCCGTTAGGATACCGTTCACTGTGGGATCCCGTTCCACCAAGCGACTCACTTTCCGATGTCATACATTTTCCTGATAGGATCCTGGTCCCTGTTTGAGCCCGTTACCCAATGGGATCTCGATTAGAGACCGACCGAATTTTGGCTTCGGTTTCGGTGCCGAAAGTGGCCATTTTATCACTTTCGGCCAAGTTTCGGTTTCGGCCGAAACTGAAAAGTTAACTTTCGGCTTAATTTCGGTTTCGGCCGAAAGATAAAAATTAACTTTCGGGTTTTTTTTCGGTTTCGTTGAAATTGACTTAGACTTTCGTCCATCTGGCCGAAAGTGACTCGGGTTTTCGGTCATCTAATACTCAGCGAAAGCGATATTTAACTACAAACTAAGCGACATTTTAGAACGAATTAAGCGATCTTTAAGAACAAACTAAACGATCTTTAAATCAAATAAAGCAATTTTTAAGAATAAATTAAGAAATCTTTGAGAACAAACTAAACGATATTTAACAACAAAATAAGCGACATTAAAGAACAAACTAAACGATCTCTAAAACAAACTAAGCGATCTTTAAGAACAATCTAAGCGTTCTTTAATAACAAAGTAAACGATCTTAAAGAACAAAGTAACCGATTGTTAAGAACGAACAAAATGATCTTTAAGAACAAAATGAATTATCTTTAATAGTAAACTGTATGATTTATAAGAATAAACTAAACAATCTTTAACAGAAAACTAAATAATCTTTAGAAACAAACTAAAAGATCTTTAAGAACAAACAAATCGATCTTAAGGAACAAAATCAATAATCTTTAAGAACAAACTAAGCTATCTTTATGGGGGGGAAAAAAAGCGATCTTCAACAACAAAATAAGCGATCTTTAAAAACAAACTAAACTATTTTTAATAACAAACTAAAAGATCTTTAAGAACAATTAAGTGATATTTAAGAACAAAATCAAGATCTTTAAGAAAAAACTAAACGATCTTTAAGAACAAACTCACCGATCTTTAAGAACAAACTAACTGATCATTAACTGATCAAAAAATGAACGCTTTTTAAGAACCAAATAAGCGATCTTTAAGAACAAACTAAACGATCTTTAATAACAAACCAGGCAATCTTTATGAACAAACTAACCGATCTTTAAGAACAAACTAAGCGGTCTTTAAGAACAAACTAAATGATCTTTAAAAACAAACAAAGCGACCTTTAAGATCAAGTTAAGCGATCTTTTAGAACCATGATCAGAACAACAATTTTAAGAGACCCGGTTTAAAAAAATAATTTTCACCACCATTGGGGTTGAGGGAGGTTAGTCTCCGAACGAAATAATTTCGTCACCAGCACAGAAACACTAGTGTGGTGTTAATAGGTTGAATATTAATACAGTGATATCTTGCAAGCTTTTAATGAAAACACAAAGCATTAGTATTACGAAAACAGCGAAATATTGTGGGGATATTTTTAATATATCGGGCTTTTTTCGGCTAATAAAATACAGTTACCAAATTATGTTTGCCAACTTGTGGTTAATAAGTTATAGAGAAATTCACGGCTGTACAAACTCTCTTTTAGCCGTAGTGGACATTTTATGCTCAGGTCATGATCAATGTTCCCTCCAAGGTTTGTTGGTTCGTGTGCAAAATCATACAGTTGTGTGCAAAGTTTTATAGCATCCATTTTTTTGTGTGTGAAAAATTTCACAGCCCACAAACACAAACACTCATTTACATGAAAATTTTCTTCGCGATACTCAAAACTGCTGCGCGGCGTCTGTGAGATAGCTGCGCGTCCGCGCAGCCGCGCAGCTTAAAAGAAAACCTTTGTTGTGATCCTAATTTGCAGAAGATATTTTATGTACCGCTCACATAGATGTTTACTTTCAGCTTGTGTCAAAATATCTTACTGTTTGTGTGTTTACCCTGCACTTCCTCTCAGTTCTTCATTACAAACAGATATTATTTTGCTCAAATTGTTTTCATGATCTTCACTGAAGCATCAAGCCTGTGCGGGTCTTGCTCCGACTCAGACTCTCTCTACAACTTGTTCGACAGCTACAGCAATTACAAGACCAAATATTGCCCCTTCGGATGTTGTGGCACTAGCGACCATCAGCATTGTTGTTACAAGTAAACTATTTAAATTATGTTCATCTCAGTTTTATGTAATTGGTTTATAATTGTTGTTGTCTTTTGGAGGGTGGTGGTGGCAGGGTTGGATGCAAGGCATAAATATTTAATAAATTTGGTCGACGAAACATTTTAAATTCACATTTATTTTGTATTTTAATTTTGGGTGGAATAATTATTTAATTTGAATCTTCATAATATGGATATCGTGTTTACAAGAACTGTTTATTTAATGTGGCACCTATTTTTAAAAAAAAAAACGTGTTATTCACATGTGCATTTATAGAGGCCGTACTGATAAGATAATATGGCGCATATTGACTCTGGAGGGTGCGTACTGCTTTTGAAAGAACTACTTTAGAGTGTATTTTGTGTGTAAAGACCTTATCGCATATCTTTTTAAAAGGGTGCAGATTTCTTCTGAGAAAACAACACACTTCTTTAGATAGAATTATAGAACTGCATCATGATAACTATTTATATAAATGATTTACCAAAACACAAAAATAGCTACAAAGTCGACCGGGTTTTTGAAATGTGTGTGTGTGTGGGGGGGGGGGGGTTGTGATTGGGTGTAGGGTAAGGGTAGGCTGGTGAGTGTGTGTCTGTGTGTTGTGTGTGCGCGCGTGTCTTTCTGTGTGTGTAGACACAAGAGACTTTGTGGGGGGGGGGGAATTTAGCTAGCCTTGTAGAGGGAAATTTATAACATTTGTATACGCCAGTGTGTGGGGGGGGGGGTTGTGATTGGGTGTAGGGTAAGGGTAGGCTGGTGAGTGTGTGTCTGTGTGTTGTGTGTGCGCGCGTGTCTTTCTGTGTGTGTAGACACAAGAGACTTTGTGGGGGAGGGGGAATTTAGCTAGCCTTGTAGAGGGAAATTTATAACATTTGTATACGCCTAACAGAGAAGGTAACCAAGGAAACACATAATGAAGTCAAGGAATTTAAATTGCACCATACATATCAAAATATAACATTTAATTATTTTGCTTATTCAATTGTATAAACTAATGAACTCAATTATAGAAAATCTCCTTTTTTCAAAACTAGATCAATACAAAATATGTCATAATTTTTTTTAGGTAGCCTACATATCTTTTAAACAATTCTGTTTATGAAATTCAAGCTGCAAATGGAGGATATGAATTTGATTTTATTTTTCGAAGTACCCGGGTACCAGAAGTGAGAGGTTGGGATTAAAACTATTTAAAATTGTATTGTTTGGTTTATAAGACAAAATGAGGTATCAAATGAAAGATAATTGAACGGAATATATGTTTGTAAACTTAGTTCTTCAGTTTAACTAAAATAAACTAACACAAATGACATCCGAATAGCACTAAGTCAAAATGTACCAGGACACGTAGTGCCGCCATTCGCACCCGGGTACCAACCTCTCCCTACTGGTACCCGGGTACAAATAGTCGCAGCCATTTTTTAAAAAATAAGTCTTATATTTATATGCATGAATCAATCAACTCTTGTAAAAATAATTAATTTAGGACATGAAGAATTCCAGCCTGTATTACCCGCAGTGGGTTATGAACCATCCAGAATGTGTCACCATTTATTTTTGTACATTACCCATTTAAAAATAGGGCCTACTTACATGGGCGCCCGCAGAAAACTTTCTGGGGGGGAGGGGCAAAAAAATCGATTAAATTTCCAGGGGCGGGGGGGGATTTTAGTAATGTTTTAATGTAGTTTTAATTTACTGCAGCGTATTTGTATGGTGAACGAACGGACAGGACATCAGCTTAGTTACTTTCTTTTTATTTTTACTTTACTTTAATAAAATTTTGTCTATTTTTGTCTAAAAAATTTGTATCCAATCAATCCAGGGAGGGGGCAAGTGCCCCACCTTGCCCCTACCTGCGGGCGCCCATGCCTACTTATGTTTTGGACACATTTTATATTAAAGAAAAAAGAACTTTTAGAAATATTGGCAACTGAAACAAATGTAATGTTTAAAAATGGACCTTAAGATTGCTGTTTGCAAAAGACAATAAGAATCTCTAACTTCCAGACCCATTTCACAGACAGGTTGTCGGCATGTTAAGTAATGTTGGTTAATTTACATCAGGGAATTACGTAGAGTGACACAGCCAGCAGGGATTACAAATAGTGGCATTGCAGGGATAACATGTGGTGACAGAGCCAGCAGGGATTACAAATAGTGACATTGCAGGGATAGCATGTGGTGACATAGCAAGCAGGGATTACAAATAGTGACATTGCAGGGATAACATGTAGTGACAGAGCCAGCAGGGATTACAAATAGTGACTTGCAGGGATTACATATTATATATAGCTTGACATAGCAGGGATTATATAACAGTGTCATGGCCCTTAGGGATAACATATAGTGATATAGCAGGGATTATATAGACTGACATAGCAGGGATTATTTAAGAGTGTCATGGCCCTTAGGGATAACATACAGTGATATAGCAGGGATTACATAGACTGACCTAACCAACAGGGATACCATAGAGTGACATAGCAGGGATTCAAGAGAGTAAAATAGCAGGTATTACATAGTATGTTATAGACAGCAGGGATAACATAGGTTTGCATAGCCCTTAGGGATAACACAGAGTGATAAAGCAAGGATTAAATTGACGGACCTAACCAACAGGGATTACACAGGGTGACATAGCTTCCAAATGTTACAAGAAGAAATTAACGCAAGTTTAAGAGCGTATTCAATTACCCAAACTCACTAAATTTGTGTAAACACAACAAACTCACTAAATTGGTGTAAGCACACAAACTCACTAAACTGGTGTTAGCACACAAAAATCACTAAATTGGTGTTAGCACGCCAAACTCACTAAACTTGTGCAAGAACACCAAACTCACTAAACTGGTTTAAGCACCAAACTCACTAAACTGCTGCAAGCACACCAAACTCACTAAATTGGCGTAAGCACAGCAAACTCAAATAAGTGGCGTACGCACACCAACTCACTAAACTGGTGTAAGCATGACCATGGTTTGCCTTGTAAAAGTGGTGGGGTGGGTGAATATACTTTTTTTTTTGGCTGTTCTTTATTTCATAAATGTATTTTATTTTAATGTCATGATTATGTCTCTTTTGATAATATTTTTATGTACAGCGCGGTGAGCCCAACCCTAGGCTGGGGTACCGCGCTATATAAGACCCCTTATTATTATTATTATTATTAGTTTGCTCATGTAACACTATTCCTTTCCCACAGCGTTGGTATCATTGCTGCTGTCATAGTTGGTGTTGTTGTCTGCATCGTTGCCGTGGTCACCATCATTTGCTGCTGCTTCTTTTACAGTTGTAGGGAAAGACCACAGACGTGTGGACCTACACCAGCAAAGACTTGTGGACCTACACCAGCAAAGACTTCTGGTCCTACACCAGCAAAGACTTGTAGTCCTACACCAGGGATTAAGCAGAAAACAAGACAAACTATGAATCCCAACGGTAAGTTACACGTTACATACTGCAAAAGTAGGACACTTATTAGGTAAAATACGGCAATATTTACTGCTGCATGATCTAAAGCAGGGGTCTCAAACTCACGGCCCGCGGGCCATTTGCGGCCCGCAAGATGATATTTCCGGCCCGCTACATAACAGCTAAGGTTAGTGTTAATGCGGCTCGCGCATTTTCCCTAATCTCATATCTATGATGGATTTCTGGATCCGACACTGGACATGTATGAGCTGAATATGTAATACAAAGTAAACTATAAAAAAACGTCTTGACAGATACAACGCTATAAGGATATATGATATTGTATGTATCATTGTATGCTTGTAATTAGTTTGTGTAGTGTTGCGTTTGTTTTAAATGTGGTAAATTATAGATTTTTTGTTGTTGTTTTTTTACTTTGTACCACGCTTCGAGCCTTTGGGATGAAGCGTGTTTTTGAAAGGAACTTTATTATTATTATTATTATTATTATTATGTATTATGTTCTTGTTCATCGTACAGCTCTTCCACCCACCCCGTCAATCGTGTCTTCAAGCAATAACCACCAACAGGCGTCGCTGGGAATGCCACCAGTTCATCAACCTTTCGCCAGTCATGGGGGCGTTGGGAGTCCAGGGGACAGAACCCTGCCAAGTGAACAAGACAACGCGTTTGAATGTTCAAGTTACAGTTCCCCCGTGTCGCACGAGATTTATGACGTCAATACGTTGCGACAGGTTGTCTCATTGTACTGATGTACTGAATCAGTAACAGGGGCATGACTAACCTCAAGCTCCAGATTTGTAAGCTCAAATGGTTGAAATTAATAGTAAGTGCACATGACGCATCACTTTGTATTGGTTTACTGAAAAGGTTGATGTTCATTTGTTAAAAAAAAAAAAAATTTAAATCATTGAGCTAGTGTTATAAACTTTTGAGCTCACTTTTATCATTGTAACTAATTTGGTATTTGCTCACTTTTTTCACAGTATATTAATTGGTAAATTAAACGTATACATTTCGCATTATGGTATCTTTAGTTGTTTTTTTTGCGTTTTGTTGTTTTTTGTTTTGTTTTTATTGTTTGTTGCCAACTCCTATGTCTACTTGAATTGATTGAGTGGTCAAGTTCTTTCACACGTTGAATACGTCGTACTATTCTTACTATCACTGGATAAGCTCAAGACCTTTTCATAATAATTATAACTTTAATATCTTAGCATTTACTTTAGACATATAAACACATGAATGTAGCGCAGCTCGCTATCAGACATAAATAATACACATCCTACGTCCACAAAGTTCCATTCATGATTGCCGCACGAATGAAACTTACGTCACAATACTGTCTCGACAATATGTCAAAATCAGCATAAAAATACGTCACGGAGTCAAGCGCGGGAAGAGCGTTCACTAACTAATTAAAACTCAATCAACAATTATCAATGAACTCCCATTCTTGACATTTGTTATTTACTTTTTGTTTACATTAGACACACTTGTTGCCCAAAACAAGAGTACGATAAGCTGTACACATAGTTCAAATAATTGGAGTGCTTTCGGTTGTATGCTAGACAAAGACAACGTTAAGTTGTTTTTTTTTCTATGAGGGGAACCTATTCAGGGTGATAGAGACCTTAAACGGAAATCTGGAAATAAAAATATATATTTAAATATCTGGATTAGCAAATATCAACACATCGAATAGAACACATCAAATAATTTTCGACCGTTGGAAACTAGAAGCAGAGAGGAGATATGCTGACTAGAAGCAGAGAGGAGATATGCTGACTAGAGGCAGAGAGGAGATACGCTGACTAGAGGCAGAGAGGAGATATGCTGACTCGAGGCAGAGAGGAGATATGCTGACTCGAGGCAGAGAGGAGATAAGCTGACTCGAGGCAGAGAGGAGATATGCTGACTCGAGGCAGAGAGGAGATATGCTGACTCGAGGCAGAGAGGGATTATGCTAACTCGAGGCAGAGATGGGATATGCTGACTCGAGGTAGAGAGGGGATATGCTGACTCGAGGCAGAGAGGAGATATGCTGACTCGAGGCAGAGAGGAGATATGCTAACTCGAGGCAGAGAGGAGATATGCTGACTCGAGGCAGAGAGGAGATATGCTAACTCGAGGCAGAGAGGAGATATGCTGACTCGAGGCAGAGAGGAGATATGCTGATGTCCTGCATTTGAACGAGGATTTGCAGTTTGGTTTGCTAAAAACAAAAACGTTGAACTTCGAGTGACATTTTGGGTGAAATAAAATATGATGTTATCACGTTATAATTAAGGAACTATTTAATTACTTTCTCATAACTTATATTAAAAACCCCTAAGAACAAAGTTTTTGGTATAAATCCTTTATAAAATGTCATATCGAGCAATTGGGTTGGGGCTGAAAATTTGACAAAACATGCATTCAAGTAAGGCACTTTATAAGAATCCTAAATTACTGCTCCCCCTCCCCCCAAGGCTCACAACTGCACTTTTTATTCACGCCCCTGAACTATTCGAATGACCCACCCTCTTTTTTTACCAACCATTTCAGAAAAAAATTATGTAGGACGTGTTTACTTCACACTTTCGCCGTGCCGTGAACTCTTTGACCCCAAAATTAGGCTGCGTTCTTATTGGGCGTGGCCTATTTCCTTTCATCTTGGCGTGTTTTCTGCCGCCACCAATTAAACATAACTAATCTGTTCTAATAGAATTTGGTGGAAAGTTCGGGGGTGGTCAAGAAAGGTAAACAATGTCTAAGTCGCTTCTGGATTGCGTCTTACGCTGCATATATAAGGGGTTCATAGAACATTAAGGGTCAGTTTGACTGATAGATATTGTTCACTTCAAGAGACAAGTGTATTATTCTTTGTGTACTCATATATGTTTATTCGCATTCATCATTGTACCTTATTTTTGTGGCATATTGTACTGTGTACCGGTACAAGACTTCCTATACTCTGTAAGTTGATGATTGTAATTATATTTCTTTTCTTTTGTAATTATATTGATACTTAAATAAATCATATTAATTGTAATTAGTACTGTTTTGAGTGTCGTATTTTTACTATTGTATTCCATATATGGTATCGTCCTTTGTTATGCACTGTTTGAAAGAGCCATAAAATTAAAATAAGAGATTAAGTTCTCACTATAGAAAGCAGTGCGTAACAAAAACAAAAGAAAATATAACGCACCAAACTCACTAGCGGTGTGCACATTTCCGTCTGCTTGGGCACCGTAGCGCACCATATTGGCACTTTTATAAAAGTTAGATCTAACAGGCTGCTTTCGCTACAACAATGTGTGTGTTTTTTTTTGTTTTTTTTTTTTTTTTTTGTTTTTGTTTTTTTTTTTTTTTAAATAGATATAATTTTTTTTTTTTTTTTTTTAAATAATTATTTCCATAAAATATTTTTGTTATTTTTTTTTATTTTTTTTTTTTTTTTTTTTTTTTTTTTTTGTTGTTGTTTTTTTTTACTTTTAAATAGAGATAATTGTTTTACTTGTATTTTAAAATAATTACTCGCATAAAATAATTCTGCTATTTTTTTTTATTGAATAAAATATAACAAGTCACTTCTATAAGCTGGAATGAGTAGATCATGTGTTGCTTCGTTTCGTTTTGTGTGTTAGCCTTCACGTTTTTAAGTGGCTCTAATCTTCTTGCACATTAATCGTCTCAACAGTCAACTTATATTAAAAATCAAATGCAAGGGTTTTAACAGCTAGAAAGAAAAAAACAATTCAGAATATGCCCAAGCCTACTGTTACTCGAAATTTAAAAGGTAATTTAAATATAAAATTCTTTTTCATTTATTTTTACAGTGATATCATCTGAATAAAATAATGGTTCTGTCTGTTTGTTAGCAAAGCAATTCTATTAAAAAAAAATAGAACTATAAAAATTAATGCAAATAAATGCTCATGAGAAGTTTAAACAAGGATAGGTTCATGATATGTAAACAGATTGAGGCAGGATCGAGCGTGAGAGAGATAAAAGTGAGAAAGAAGTAAAAATGAAGAGAGAGAAGGGGCGGGGGAGGGGGGCTGTGATAAAGAATGAATGCGAGAGAGGAGCTTGTTCTATTCTGTGGTCTTTTCCCTGTTGGTTTCTACAGGAAAGGAAGTCTGTGTACTACGGTACACACCAAGCCATGGCTCGGAAATCAAGAACATCACTTTTCGCTGTGAGCATGGCTGCTGTGGAACAGAGAGTAAAGAGTACTGCTGTCTCAGTGCGTAAGTGGGTGTATAAAGTCCTGCTGTCTCTGTGCGTAAGTGGATGTATAAAGTGCTGGTGTCTCAGTGCGTAAGTGGATGTATAAAGTGCTGGTGTCTCAGTGCGTAAGTGGATGTATAAAGTGCTGGTGTCTCAGTGCGTAAGTGGATGTTTAAAATGCTGTTGTCACAGTGCGTAAGTTGATGTATAAAGTACTGTTGTCTCAGTAAATGGATGTATAAAGTACTGCTGTCTCAGTAAGTGCATGTATAAGGTACTGCTGTCTCAGTAAGTGGGTGCATAAAGTACTACTGTCTCAGTAAGTGGATGTATAAAGTACTGCTGTCTCAGTAAGTGGATATGTTACAGGCAACGTGTGAAGAGAAATATTGCCTGGATTACATCTGTAATAGATATATTAAGTACTGCTGTCTGCTGTCTCATTGAGTGGATATGTAATTTACTACTGTCACATTAAGGTGATATATAAAGTACTGCTGTCTCAGTGCTTAATTTGATATATAAGGTACTGATGTATCCTTATGTGGACAATATATTTATTTATATATGAAGTACTGGTGTGTTAGCGAAACAATAAAAATTCAAAGTTGTGTAGTGTACGAGTAAAGCGAACACAAACATTTTCTAATACCGTATATGACTGACTTATAATAAAGTAATTAGTCTGAGTAAAAAAAAAATAGTCTATTGTTATGTGTCTATACGTCCATGTAAGTGATCATAGATGTGTACTTATATTTCCTATTACATTTTATTTCAACTCCAACTTATGACAGACCCACCTTACTAGGAGCGATATTTACAGCTGCGCTGTTCGGCATCTTGTGTGTTGTGGCCATCTCTGACTATCTTTACAAAAAATGCCAGAAACATTCTACATCACGTACAGCTGTTCAAATTATTGGTAAGTTCTAGAACTGTGTGTTCAGCAACTTCAAGTTATCGGTGTAAAATAGATGGCAAGGGGGTGGGGTGTATGAACCCTACATGAACAGGCGAATGAGAGAAGACAGTGCATGTGCCATGAGTACACACTGATGTGACACTATGTAACACTAACACTAGATGATGAATGTGCAATGGGTACACAATATGTAGCTCTAACGTAATTTTATTATTATTAGTAGTAGTAGTCTTATTTAGTGCGATATACGTGTCCCATTAGTACACAATATGTACCTCGAACGTTAGATAATACGCAACATACCTGCTGTGGGGCAGTAGCGTAGCTAGGGGGTGCGGACCGCACCGGGTGACACCATCTCAGGGGGGGACATCTTAATGAAAAATTGCATAGTTACACATTGTTCGCTTTAAACGAATTTCATAAAAGGAAAAGGATAACCGATCACAAGTAAATTGTTCTCGCATGTAACCAATCCAAGTGATACCATGAAGGGTATAGATTCTGATCAAGTGATTTTTTAGTAGGGTATACTTTATATATTCATAATAATAGGGTATACTTTATATATTCATATTAGTAGGCTATAAACATTGAAACCTTGAAATAAAGCAAACCATGGGAACAAAGCAATAGTGTTGTTATTTGGAGGGATGGTGCTAGTTGTAGGGGTGGTGCTAGCTTCAGTGATAGTGCTTTTAGCAAGGATGGTGTAGCTGATGAGGTAGTCGGTGTTTCTCAAAACATGATTTGTGTTTTGTTAATTAAGTATTGAACCTAATTCATAGTATCGTGAAATTCTGTATTCTTAAATGTGTGCAACAGAAGTTTGTTCCAAGGAAAATTGTTTTGACGAAAGTTGTTCCAAGGAAAATTGTTTTGACGAAAGTTGTTCCAAGGAAAATTGTTTTGACGAAAGTTGTTCCAATGAAAATTGTTTTGACGAAAGTTGTTCCAAGGAAAATTGTTTTGACGAAAGTTGTTCCAATGAAAATTGTTTTGACGAAAGTTGTTCCAAGGAAAATTGTTTTGACGAAAGTTGTTCCAAGGAAAATGGCTTGACGAAAGTTGTTCCAATGAAAATTGTTTTGACGAAAGTTGTTCCAAGGAAAATGGCTTGACGAAAGTTGTTCCAAGGAAAATGGCTTGACGAAAGTTGTTCCAAGGAAAATGGCTTGACGAAAGTTGTTCCAAGGAAAATTGTTTTGACGAAAGTTGTTCCAATGAAAATTGTTTTGACGAAAGTTGTTCCAATGAAAATTGTTTTGACGAAAGTTGTTCCAATGAAAATTGTTTTGACGAAAGTTGTTCCAATGAAAATTGTTTTGACGAAAGTTGTTCCAATGAAAATTGTTTTGACGAAAGTTGTTCCAATGAAAATTGTTTTGACGAAAGTTGTTCAGAGAGAGATTTCATTTAAATCATCAACAATCTTTTTTGTCGTCAGCCCCGGTATCTACCATTGCTCAGCCCATTAAGAAGCAAACCTATATGACCACAGTGTGTAATAGTGTGCCGCTGGCCCACTACGTGGAGGCCCAACACTACCCTTACTATGGACCTGCTTGTTACACCTATCCACTGATGCAGCCTTACCACGGAGCGCCCTTCGCCCCGCGGCTTCCAGCGTTCCCAAATAGCGGGGGACCTGACACGTCTAACCCAGTTGCCTTCGCCTCCAGGAAGACCTTTGATGCACGCACGTTTACTTACACCTCATTGGGGATGCCCGATGCCTCTGAGCCGCCGCCATACACGTACACGGATGGCTCTCACACTCCTAAACTGCCAGCCTACACGACCATGGCGTCCCCCGTATCTGAACCCTCAGTGTGTCCCTTGGTGGAAGAGCCTAAACCACCTAATCGACACTCGTACAGTGCGGTGCGCATTCCGAGCGCACCGCCCCTAGCTGCGTGCGATCTTCCTAAAGAGAGTTAACTATATCTGAATTGAAAAATCAACTCACATAGGCATGTCAGTTATTGAAAAATGTAAAGTCCTATTACAAATAAATTATTTTCTGTTTTCTTTTACATATCCAAACTCTTAACTTTTTTTTTTTATTTCTATAAGTCTCAATGTTGCATTCGTGATTATTAGTTTTAAATTGATGGCAGAATGTTGAGGAAAAGTAGAGTAACATATAAGAATGTTTAGATTTTTTTTTCTTATGGAATGTAGTAGAACATTTAAAATAAGGTAAATCCTTTAATAAATGAAATCCGGTATTGTCTTCATTAAAATTGTGTTACAATATTATCATCTTCCTCGAGGCATGTCTGAAGTTTTAGTTGTAAAAAGCGTAGCAAATGCTGAAAAACTCTGAATGAGAACTCATTTCCTTTCATTACTCATGTTGGATGGATGCCATTTCGGTAAAAGTTTCAGCTTTTCCTTGGCAGTGGCGATGTTTCTAGTTTTACTAGAGATCCGAGACTACAATGAAACTCAAGCCACTACAGCGCTGAGCTAGAGCTCAAGTTTGAAATCTATTCTGTTCTTCTGAATAACGATACAAGAGGAAGCCCAAAAATCTTACTGAAAAGGGTATCTCGGTGAAACATGAAGTGAACACCCTGACTTTGGGATCGTGGATGTCGCCCTGGATGAACTTAATTGGTGATTCGTGTGAAGGAAAAAAAAATAATGGCGGGCCGGCGGAACTCTATTTATTTTTATTTATTTTTATTTTTTTTTTAGTTTCACTTTCGCGTCTACAGACATGTCCCAAGTGTGCATTAAAATGCAGAGATATTTACAAGTGTATTATTCCTGGAATCTTGTTAGGTTCCCAGAGAATTAACTTCGATTAGTGTATTTTGATTCTGAAATTAATCTCCGAGCTCGACTGCCTTCTTCTTTGAGCAAAATAATTATTTGGATTTTTCAACAATACCACTATGAGTTAAGTTTATGTCATGCAGAGAATAATATTTCCAATAATGTGGCTTCATAGAGTGCCTTTCTTCACTTCTGCGCAGACATTCTTTGCGTAAAGCTTTTTTAAGAAATGTTAAATTATTTTACACTCTTTAGTTGGCTTAAACTAGTTTTTTATAGAAAGTCTTTTTAAATGTATGTTTTAAATTCTCATTTTATTTTATTTTGTTCTATCGGTGAGTATTTCATTCATATCGGAGTGAGTGGGGTGCACTGACATACCCCTTCCACCTTCGAAGAAAGCCAACTGCGCCCCCTCCCAGTGAAAAAAAAATATGGACAACAATAAAAAGAAAATATATTTTTAGTACATTTTAAAATTGTAATTTTTATAACATTTTTTTAAAAATATATTTACTGGCACCTTTAACCGAGTACAATATGTGAACCTATGAAATGTATTTATTTAAAGCTAATATTCACAGTATTGATAAGACGCTTACACTATTGGATTATGAATACCCGGTATCTTAGCGTTCCGAAAATTGTCCGCTACTGATTATACACCGAAGTCTTATTTCGTATTGTTCGCATAAATCGGTGTTTTTATTTAGACTATTTATTTTTTGCAACTTCACAAGGAAAAAAAACCCAGCCTATATTATTCATGTCCCAACTGCATTGATCTTTTTAATAACAGAATAATAAACAATCTCCCACCCATTAGCACGCATTATTTTTATCTATGTATTTATTTTTATTTTTATTTTTTTATTATTTTTTTAGATTCCACTGTTTTTTTAACTAGAATTTCTATTATCATGCCAATGGCAATGCCTCAATATGACAATGCCATTGTTTTTAAAATTGGTACTAGTTTCAGAAGAAATTCTTCTCTCTAAGTCATCAATTGAAAAATAAATTCTATGGATTTGGTTTTTAAAAAAATTATTAAAATATAACCAAGACAAGAGGCAGTTTGTAATTTATTTGAAGAACGTAATAAATAATAATTATAGTAGTTTTAAATAGTAAAATATAGTCATATAGTAGTAGTTTGAAATTCCAAATAAACATTTCAATCAACTGAATAATAAGAAATGTATACTTTATTTGTATACTATTTACCTCAGATAAAATTACATATCAATAAATAAAAGATATCCTTCGTAAACATCTAATGTCTTCTTATACTTATAGTAAGTACTTTATAAATTGGCCATGCAAATATACTGTTCACCGCAAAAAAGTAATTACCTTGACCTTAAACTCCCGGCAAATTAGATTGTTACTTAACGCTTAAGTGACTTAACGGTAACAGTATTATAAAATTTTCAAGATACCGTCTAATTTTATTGACAAGTTGTCGTTGCATATTTCATTAAATTTAGTCCTAAAAGTAAGACCAATTATATTTATTAGATTTATAGCTAGAAGTGATGAATCAGGATATTTTGTTCAAATAAAATTATTGCCCCCCCCCCCCAACTCCGACCACGCATATGTGACCACTATGACTATGCCTATGTCATAAATTTAGGTAAATGTACAATTCATTTTACTACAAAAGTTTTTTGATTATAAGTACATTAAGTTAGTAAATTATTTGATTTATAGCTAGAAGTGATGAATCAGGATATTTTTTTCAAAAAAAATTATTGCCCCCCCCCCCCCAACTCCGACCACGCATATGTGACCACTATGACTATGACTATGTCATAAATTTAGGTAAATGTACAAGTCATTTTACTACAAAAGTTTATGGATGATAAGTACATTAAGTTAGTAAATTTACTTAGGTTTGCAATTGCAACTCTGCCCCTCCCTGAGTAACTGAAGAAAATTAGTAAAGTCAGTAAACATTTTTTAAAAGAACAGCCCTAGCTAGTGACGCATTGTTTTTGAATTTGTAACAGTGAACAGTATTGTATTACATATATATATATATATATATATATATATATATATATATATATATATATATATATATCTATATATATATATATATATTACATCTTATAGTTATAGGGCTTGAGACTCTCTAAGTTGATTTTACCATGAAGAATACTAGGTTAAACTAACCTATTTAAAGACATGCAGGCATAAACATAAAGTTAAAGTAAGATAATGTAATAATATGCAATGCATGCTTAGCATATTATATTAACTTGCCTAACTGAGGAAAAATTTTATTTGGATGCAGTTTTAAAATAAAAATCCAAAAGCTTAATCATCCCTTTCACACATCATTTTAACAGATTCCAATAGTTTTTATTCCAGGTTATTTTGCTTCCCCAATCTTCAGTTAATGACTAGTTCACTAATAATTAATAAGTTGAAAAAATGGATTCTTCATCCTATCAACATTTTTAAAATTTCTCTTGGAGCAGTGACAAATTCTCCACAATTAGCGAGCTATTACTATTAGTGTTAGTGTTAGCATTATCAAATTTCAGTTTCAGACGTTTTGCAATACTTTTCTTAATTTTCTCCACACCCTCCATTTCCAAACCCCTGTCTTGTCAATATATGCCAATTTTGCCCACAAAGTTCGTCAAAAAAATATTTTCTGGTGTCATAAATCCTCTTTGTTTAAACAAGAAAGGACTACCTTAAAGTTTCAATGGAGTATACTTTCCCAACATAGATTTTCAATAAGTTTTTAGAAATTAAGCTCTCATTTGTATGGACAATATTAACCATTAATTTTACGAATTGTAGTCCATCTTCCTGCATTCGAAGTCTTGAAAATATTTCATTTGGCTGGATATTTGTGAATCATGTTTCAAAAATATGTGTTTATGATGTCCCATTTTAAAACCTCTTAAATTTTTCATTTTTTCATATACAGATTAATAATTAATATCAAAAGATGCCAGAAGGACCAGAGCTACATTTGACTTGCTTATTTATAAATAGGACATGCAAAGACCAAATCTTCAGTGGGAAGATTCTCCGCAATCCGATTCATAAATGTCCTGATATTGATTGGGATGAACCACAATACACCATAAGTGCTGAGTCTAAAGGCAAAGAGTTCATGCTTCATTTGAATACAGTATTAGATGATATGAATGGGGGAAAAAATAAGAAGTCTCAGAAACTGCACTTGGAACCTGCACCATCTTTGAAAAAGACCTTAAGTATTCGTTTTACATTTGGGATGAGTGGAAGGTTTGATTTCACTCCTGAAAATGAATGCCCTAAGCACTCCCACTTGCGCTTCATAACTAAAAGTGAACCTAAAATGTCTCTCAGTTTTGTTGACTATCGACGTTTTGGCAAATGGTTTGTGGGAGGACAATGGTCACCGGACAGAGGCCCTTGTGTTATTGGTGAATTTGAATCTTTTGTGTGAGTTTGTTTAATGCATTTCAGGACAATAAAAATTCAATTAATAGGTTTACTTGTGATATGCAAATAAGGCTTTTTTATTTACATTTGATAACTGTCAAAAATTGCTCTTTATAAAACATAAACTGCACAAAATAAACCATTTTATGTTGTTTTTATTAAAAAAACTCATACCTTCCTCTTCATTGATTCATGTAAAAATATAAAACATGGAAATGACAAATAGCAAAAATTTTGTTAAAATGAATTTTTATTTGGTACCGGTACCCAGTATATTAAAAATATAATTTTGTTTTAAATATTTTGAATACAGTAAGCCGATTAGGGTTTTCAGTTTCTTTTTTTAAATTTTATAATTTAATATATATAACCAGCATGAGTGTTCATTTTATAAATGACAACATGTTTTAAGTTTGATAATTTAAATATTGGTAACTTACAAGGAAAGTGTTTATTTGCAATATACTTTTTTAAATGGTATATTTTGTTGCGGCTCTTTTTTTCTTCTGGTTTATGTATTGCATTTATACCATCTGTGTTTTAGAATATCATTTCTTATATTTAAGGGAAAATATAGTCAACAATATGGATAATCCTTCCTTCAATAAACCAATATGTGAAGTACTGCTCAACCAAAAGTTCTTCAATGGCATTGGTAATTACCTTCGTGCTGAAATTCTTTTAAGGTTTGTTTTGAATAGTTTCCTCTCAATATACAAAGCACTGGAACCCCACTGCTAAATCTGGATAATAACATGACTCTCTTGAGTCATATTGTATTTGTATGCTATAAAGTAGTATACCGGTAATGTTCAAATGTAGTTTTTTTCCCCCTAATTTTCATAATCTTTAAAAGTTATCCAGTTTTTCAGATAGTCTTTTTAATGCATCAGTTCTTAGTGATATATTATAGCATTTAAATTTTGTTTAAATGACTTTATAAATCTTGATTAAAAAACCTGAAATTGCCATAACCAGTAACTGTTTTAATGATCTTATAGTTGATGTTTATTTGATGTTTTACTGTATTTTATAAACAATTGTCATTTGTGTTTAAAAACAGTTCTTTCAACAAGAAAAAAAAAAAAAGACAGAAGCCAAAAAAGAAAATGTGTAATCTTTATTGTTTCCATTTATTCTTCTAGATGTAAGGTTCCACCTTTTGAGAAAGCCAACAATATACTTAGACTAAATGAGTTTAAAGAAGAGACTTCAGATATAAAAGCAGAGATTAAAAATGTAATTATTTAATTATGAAATGCTATTTACAAAATTTAAAACAGTAAATGGTAATAATAACATTAAATTAATCTTAATTTGCTTATTGTTTCAGATGAACTTTTTCATATTTTTTTTCATGCAATACTATTGTACTATTCATTTAAGATAATAATATTGCTTTTTAAATTCTTTATTCTTAAACTTAATGTGCTTTACATGGTCATTGACACATAAGCTATGACTGAAGAGGTCTACATAAATTATGTTTGTTGTTGTAATATTTTTTTCATAATTTTCAGGAATCTGAACCTGAAGACAGCAAAGGTCTGAACCAAAAATTCAATGGAAAAAAGTCTACAACTAAACAAGCGAAAGCTGCAAAAAATGGAGGGAAACATTCAGCAGAGTCTTTAATGAATGATGTAAAATTGGAACGAAATACCTCCAATCAGCAAGATTACAAAACCAAATCAGTTATAGAGAAACTTACACCTCAAGCTCAAGAGTTGTTGAAATTATGTCACACTGTACCAATAGAGGTTGTCAACTTAGGTAAAGAAGTATAGATCTTTGATTAAATATTTTTACCATCCAGCTCACATTTTGGTAGGATAGGATATGCAGAAAATATCACTCCTTTCTTTAAGGCAAAAGTCTTATGCAGTCTAAAAAAAAATAAAAAAGATGGACAACCCGAACACTATATACCAGTACTTGAATACGTTTCCACCTGGTATTTTTATTGAACTGATTATTCAATCTGTATCTATTTATAAATCTCCTATGAATGTAGGATCAACAAAATATGCTCTGGCTGATATGTATGCTGAGGATCAGGAGGATGGAAGTCTGTCGTTTAATACTTGGCTACAGTGCTACTATCAGCCTGGCATGAAAAACCTGGTGGACCACAATAAAAGAACTATTTGGTTTTCTGGACCTGCTGGCCCCCTGGTGCCCTCAGGTAAGAAATTTACAAATCCAAATGGTATTCCTTAAAATTTTGAAACCATATACTATTTATGATGGGAGTTTACAACATTTCTTCTCATCAAAAATAATTTAAGAAACATTTCACCTAAATATTTATGGCCAACATATTGATTTGAAAGGTTCTGGTATTTTTTATGAATGCCTCGGATATAATGATTCAATAACTTATGTCCTTGGTTGTTCTTTAATTTTTTTTTCCTTGGTATCCAAAAAGTTTTTCCAGACATTTGGTATTTTGAACATTTAGAATACTATGTATACACATATATTGTTAAGTAGATTACCTTCACTACTTAGAGAGTCATCATTTAACGTAAAAGTCAGTGGTCACAAAATCTGCATTATTCCCATCAAAAATTGGTGGTTGTACAACAGAAAGATGACCAAATTGCAATGAAGACTCTTCAAAAATGTTACATTTAAAGACTAAACATTTTCAATAGAATTTTTTTTCTGATCAACATGCTAAATGAGCTTGATAATTAATTGCTTTTTGATACTTAATCTTCATAAAATCTTTTTTAAAAATAACTATTATTAATACCTAGCATTACCCATGGACAATGATCCCTTTAAGGTTTGCTGGTTTGTGTGCAAAATCATGCAGCTGTGTGCAAAGTTTTATAGCATCAGTTTTTTGTGTGCAAAATTTTACAGCCCAAAACATGCGCGCAGAAATTATATCAAAATTATTTTTTAGTACTGTACAAATACTTACATGAAATTAAATAAAGGAACTAATATTAAATAAATATAATCAGAAATGACACAATAGTTCAAATAAAGCTATATTTATTTCAATTATTTATCCCACCATCATGTCAATGAACTAAATGCCAACACACCCACTAACAACTGCAATTTATCATTTGACTCATTTCTGGAGGTTCTCTTGCATCTTTCTTATGAGATCCATCTATTATACACTAGGTTGATCTTATGTCCATCATTCTGATATGATTCAATCCATGTCAAAATTGAACTCTTCCAACTTATTTCCAGATTTCATATTTATTATGTTCATTAGGCTGAATCCATATTCACAATCAAATTTGGATGCAAGAAATGTTGCACAAATATCCAACAGAATGGCAATGTCACCAAATTATTCCTCATTCGTTACAAATTTAAACATCTCATAGAAATTCTGCTTCAGTCCATATTAAATTTTTTTCTGCAAGCGCAAACCTTAAGTTATGATACTGATCCTTATCTTTCGGCTGCATTTTATTAAAGTTTTCTAAGGACTGCTGCATATCTGGAAACCAGTGCTGCAAAATCTTCTTGACCGAAATTAAAATCTGAAGTGTTGCGTAATGCTGATATCTCAAAGATTTGTCATTGCATCTACTCACATTAGGTTTCAGGAAAATGAAAGTCCACACACAAACATAAACATTCAAAGAATTTTAGGATGGAACTTATGTTTATATCCTTGAATTTGCAAGCAATTCAGTGCAAATTTTCCTGAGGTACTGAGCACAGAGCTTAGTGATCCTTGCCTTTACAAACTGGTAGGCCTCGATGGATGGTCGTAAGAGATTTTCTTTGTAGCAGCTTGCATACTTCAGTAAGTTAACTACAAATTCATTAAAGATATTCAGTGCAGTTCCAAACTGCGGGTCCCTTTGTTTTTTCAAACATTACTTATTGACTCTATCATTATACAGGCACACCTGTATTCAGTCAACACTTGTATGTTTCTCCGCAATGCTTATAAATCAAAGTGCTGCAAAGGTCATCTTACTTCATTCAGTGGTCTAAAGGCTACAGAATCATCACATTCAAACACCCTAGCTAGTTTGGTAAACTGTTCTTTCCGTACTGGCCACCCACCGTACTGAACAATGTGTGCACTGCCCTAAGGAATGTTTCAATGTCTGCCATTAAAGGCATGTATTGTAAGCATCATCAATGCCTAAATCTTCACAATGAGGAACGCAATGTTACCCCAGTAAATGTGGAATTTCAAACGAAGAATTACTGCATCTCCATTGTTCCTTCCAAGTATAACCTATGCTCCATCAGCGGTAAACATAACCATTACCTGCATGTCCAATCAATTATTTTGATAAAACTCTGTTATTGCTGATTCCACAGATTTACTTTCACATGCCGACTGAGACAAAATTCCATCAAACATTGTATTGTAAACATTACTAATATATGGCGGCAGAAAATTTGCATATATGATAAACATTTTTGTCACTGATATATCAGTGCTCACATCTGTGGAGCAGCCAGGTTTAGTACCACCCTGGGCAAGTCAAAGATTTTGCCACCCCATGTGAAGTTCGCTAATTATAGCATTTTCACTGCAGAATTGATAGAATCAACAAACTCAAAAGCGTAATTCTTACTGCATCAGCTATTAGTATTAGGGATATGGGTAACCAACGTTGATGTATGTATTGAACTCCATCCATATTCATATGTGTTCATGTTGATAGCCAAGTGGACTATGTCAATCAAAATTTGAACCTGGTCTTCTTAGGCACTTTTACATTGTGCTGCTTCTTGTCTCATGCCTTTATCAGCAACACTTTCTGTAAGCAATCCCAGTACACCTCCTGACTGTGTAGATTAAAGTCTCGGTACAGCATATGTGTGTATTTTTTGCTTGATATGTCATTTAAGATAATCCAGCTTCCAAGCCTTCCACATTTTTCCTTTGGAGAAATCGTTACCTGCATTAGCTTTGAAGCGCATTCATAAACAATGTCATCTCAATTTATGATATTTGAAAATATCACTCAGCTTGACAGACCACTCTTTAGACAAATCTGGTAGTGTTCCATGCAAAATTTCATTGAGCCAATCTGTTTTCAAAGTTTATCTGCACTTTTCTTTTCAAGCGATGACTCTGGCAGTTCGATTATTTCACATTTAAACAAAACGGTGAAATGATTATTACAAATAAATAGCTTTCGCACCTATAATAAACTAGAAGATATTCTATTTATTTATTTTACACACATCAGAATTTGCTGCATGTTGACTCAAAACTGCTGGGCAGCATACTAGATAGCTTCACTGCATATTAGATAGCTGTGCGGTTATGCAGCCATACAGCTTAAAGGAAACATCGCCTATGAGTATGCTGATGTTATCTGAGGCAGGGTCATTAAAGATATAGGGGAAATCAGTTCTTCGGAAACACAAAAGGCAAAATAATCCAGATTTAGGTTTAATGTACCAGTAGTAGTTTTAAATCAAGAGAATATTGACTGGAATTAAGTGTTTTATTTAAATTTTAGTGTAATGTCCACCTTATAATCAGGACAAACAATTGCTGACACTGTGCAAAACATACACTTACCTTTAGGTATGATTAAAATAAATTTTTTTAGATGTTGTTTCATACTTTTCTAACTTTTATAAAATGTATGTCGTCATGAAGGTCAGAAGTCGCGCGGTCTTTGCAAAGCTATGATACCCAGCACTCCATCCGTGAAAAAGGAAATAGATGAGGTACAGTTATTAAATATTATTCAAGTGCTTTGGAATACAGTTATATACAAATTTTCAAGATTAAAATATTCAACAGGAAAGAAATTATTCAGGCAACACAAATCAGACTTTTTAAGTAAAAAAAGAGCTAGCAAATACACAATGTATTAGTCATAATCATAACCCTTTTTGACTTGGACTGGATAGATTAATTTTGGGTTTTTAAAGTCTGTTGTCAGAAGAAAACGGCAATCAGATTTTCCAAAAATCCTCCTCTTTGCTTTTTTGAGTTATAAGAGCCTTATAAACAATTTAATCTAGAAGTCACTATCCTATTCTCCATATACACTAGCCAGCTTGACAGAATTATTGAAAGTTGTGGTATATCCCGCAAATTATTTGCGGATGACACAGAACTGTACAAGTGTCTCCGACCTAAACTTTTGGAGTGAGCTGCTGCTGTGCAAGCTGTCGAGGACTGCTGTCTTGTGGTGATGACATGGATTGCATCAAACAGACTTAAATTAAATGACGATAACACAGATTCAATTATATGTGGTTCTGATTCGAATAATTGGAAGGTTGCTATGACGATAACACAGATTCAATTATATGTGGTTCTGATTCGAATAATTGGAAGGTTGCTATCGCATCGATAAAAGGTGGTGCTTCTGAGATCCCCTTGTCCAACACTGTTTGAGACCTTGGCTTCTACACTGACAGCAAGCGTACTATGATCCCTCATATCAGTTCTGTTTTTTGTCTTATCATAATTAAAGGTTAACATTTTATATTTTATTTTTCTGGAGGAACAACAGGAGCTTCCAAAACGAAAGCTTAAAACCAAGCAAGAAGTTGTGCAGGAAGATGAAGATCAACCTGTAAAGAAATTCAGTAAAAGACAAATAAAGGAGAAAAATTCCAAGAAAGGACAGGGCTCAAGTGGAAAAAAAAAAAAACTTGACGAGAGATCCAATGAAAAAGAATGGGATAAAAAATTATCACATACCAAAAAATCCAGAGTTTCAGTAAAGGCTGAGGCGGAGAAATTGGTTCAGACTCAGACAAAAAGAAAGAGAAGAGCTCAAGAGAATGTTGTCGGTGAACAAAATGAAGAGCTGCCTAAGATCAGGTCGTCTAAGAGATTAAAGTCTCAAGGCAAAGTTTTATAACATCATTTAAGAAAATATATTTTAAAAATTCATAGCTGTTCCAAGTAACCTAGAAGACTAGTTATCAGTGTGTGTGTGTGTGTGTGTGGGGGGGGGGGTTTGTGTGTGAGTGGTGTTTCACTTTTATATATGGACAGAGTTTAAGCACTGTATGGAGAACCAAATGTTATTGTCCTTTAATTTTTTAACTGGAATGGATTTTCATGTTTTTATTGTCATTTAAAAAAAATTAAACATCTGTAAACAATATCAATCCACCTATTTCACCAGGATGGTATAAATGGGGAGAACAGCTATTTGAGGATGTGTCAATAATAGTTAATGCTTTTCCTTGTAAGATAACACATCACCAAGTTAATAGGCTAGTTACTTATTGAAAATTGAAGTCATGCCTCTTAAAATACATATATTTGTATTAGCTGTACTCTAGTTATTGGCAGAGGATGGGCTATTTTTGTTGGAGCTCAACATTATTGAGGTGTCCTGCAAATTTTGAATTGGAAGAGAAAATGGGGCTTCCAATTAAAATGCATATTGTTTAGGATGAGCAGCTTGACTCAAAACCCTCATGCTTTGCTACAAATATAAGTTATGTACAGACACCTTTTTAATAAGTAATCCCCACCATATGCTGTATAGAATTATTAGAATACACATCCGCCTAAATATTTACCAATACACTGCCCTGGCCCCTTTACTCCCCTTTAATTTCTCAACATTTTAGCAGGGCTTTATAAAAACATTAACCGCTCAAAAGCACTGATCTTATGAAATATTTTTGTATAATTGCACTGCTACTAAAGAGTGGCACTGGTTGCCATGCAAGGGCCAATTTTCAGAGTACAGTCAAGATATTCCAGCTTCCAACAAAAAGTAGAAAAGTATTAAGTGACAAAGGCTCTCCTCTTGCTAGTCCTAAGAAGTTATCTTTACTACAACTTTTAAAATAACATTCTGTAATTTCTTTTCTTTAGAAACTACTACTAAAATTGTCTTGTACTAAAAAATATTTTTATAAATTATTATTATTGAATGAAGAAACTTAAATTTTTATTGTATAAAAATTGTTTGTTCATTTATGACTTTTTGTTGCAAATGTACACTTTTAGTTTAGTTCCTAAAGCAGTAATTATATACATATTATGGTTTTATGTAAATACATTTAAAATAACAAAATAAACCATTTCTTAACACTTGATTTATTTGCACTTTGTCTTTGTTATCTTGACCATAACATAATTAGTAAAATAAATTTAATGATCCTAAATGCCACTTAATATAAGTATTCTTCTTAACTGTAAGTCTCAATGTTAAGACATTTTATTTTACCTAAGTTTTCCTATGTTATGTAAAACCATAACATCATCGCTTGGAAATAATAATAATAAATAATAAATAAAAAATAAAATAAAAAAATAAATAATAATAAAAACTAGTCTAGTGAACTTATGTTCAATAGTTATCCAATGTTTAAGTAAATGTCCAGATGAAGTTTGGTCAAGATACATCTATTCGTGTAGGAGTATTTTTTTTTTAATTTTTATTTATATTGCTCATATAAGAAAAGAAAATAAACAATTTGGGGAAATGTTATAAAAAGTTCATAACCCCCTCAAAAGTTCCTTCTGGATAATGATGCCAAGTTTTGGTAAAGATCCATCAATTCATTTAAAAGCCTTTGTAGAAAACAAACAAACAAACTCACACATTTTCACTAATTGTTATATATTTATATGATGTATTCATTAACATTATTTAGCATATAAACAGAATAAAAGAATAAGATCAAATGTTGAAATAGAAAATACCCTGGAGGATGGAAGCAGCACATTCAATTATTTTACTTAGCAAATGGCAACAAACTCTGAGATGAATACTTACTCCAACAGACCTTTTACAAATGAAATTGAATTACTTTTGCTAATAAAACTGTAGTTCTTGTTTTATTTATATTTTCATAGGCATGGAAAGACCCCGGAAATATGGGCTGGTAAATTTGTTAAGAACCAGAAAATATTTTTTAATCTCATTTTGTTTACCTAAACAATAAACTGCATTGTTGTAAAATATCTTATTTAGTGCACAATTTTCTGGAGCCATCTTTTAGGAGTATAATGAAACCTAGCTCATTTAACAGATAATTAACTGTTATTTTTTTTTAAATGTTGCTTTATCCAACTGATCAGATCTGAGTTTTTGAATTAGTGTTGTTATTTCTTATAGTAACGGTACATTAATATCATTCAGTGCCATCATATGCACACCTACGCTTACGTTCACAGGTCATTGACCTTTATAGTCAGCCAAATCTCATGCTACACCATATACAAGTCAGCTGATATTGATGTAATTAAGAAATAAATATATTTTGAAAAAAGTATATTTGTTTATTGGGTGTAAATGTTACCATAAGTAGCAAATAACAAAACTTCTGTTTTATTTAGATGGCTAAAAAATGTGACCATGTCGAATTGTTTCAACTTTTTCAATGCCCTAGTCTCTGGGCTTAAGACAAGGAATTTAAATATGAACCAAACTCTAAAATTATCAAAATAACCACACAAAAAAAATAATAAATGATACAAATAATAAATATATGAATGAAATAACAAACATGTTACAAATAAACTCAGTAGGTATGTATAGTTATATTCATAATAGTAATATTGAATGAAACTAATGCGGCAGACTTGCAACACTACTTAGTGTTTAACCTGGCCAACCTTCCAAACAAAGCTGTATTCATAGAGTTAATGTTTACAACATGAATATCCTATAAAATTCAGTTCATGGAAATTAAAACTTAACAAATAAGTAGAGGACACTTTTCAAAACATGGACATTTTTTTTTAAAATGATTCTGTTAAACCGGAGTCTGTGTAAAAAAAAATAGGTGGCAGTATAATAGGAATGTTTGTGTCACTACTGTAGTTCAACTTCACTAGGCTGTTTGATAGCTCTCAGCTTGATGCTGCTACCTTTAAGATGTACTTCTGCAGTGCTTCCACTTTTACATTGATGTCGAAACGCTCCAACCAAAATTCTACTGTCTTATTTACACTCAGATTTTTGTCTCTTCAAAGGAAACATCCATCTCTATTTAGGACAAACATTTATGTACACTTTTAGTTGTCTGTCAGATGTCCATGGACAATAATATATTAGTGCATGACACCTCACGAGGTTTGTTGCATGCTTTCTCAGTTTATTTCACAAGAGAAAAGCCTTGGCAGTACAACATTTTGAGCCCCTGATATAATATCTTGCCAAAACATTAACATTTTTATTATCTGTATAATTATTATTAAATAAAGCTGAATCTATATTTTTTTTTTTATTTACACAAATTGTGTATAATTAATATACTTGAAAGCTTTATCGCAAGTCAACACTGGTATATTTCTTTCAAATGCCAAATTATGGTTATAAAAATATTAAAATGCAAATATTCTTTAAATTCAAATTCTGAAAAATATTGTGTGTATTTAGTTCAAAATTTAGAATGTTTTCATAGTTAAATATAATTAATTGTCCCTGTGTGACTCTGAGGCAGTTAAAACAGCCACTTATTGCACTGCCCATAAAGGGACATTGAGAATGCCAAGAGCATGAGATTGTGACAATGTACTTAATTGAGAGATCATCACATTTAAATAGTGATAAACCACCACCACTACCAATGGTGAAAATTTGAGAGGAAAAATTATGTGTTGACTTAAATTAAAAGAAAATAATAACAGAACAAATTGAATTGTTCTGATGCATTAAAGTGATGCATTGACTAGCCCAAAATAAAATAACAGGAAGATCACAGAGGCATTGATGAGTTTGAAATAACACATTCACGAATGTACTAACGATTGTTCTAATACTTTAATAGTGTGCCCTTCTAAAGCTTGAATATCTTCACAGTCTGTGAGTCTTGGCACCATCATAGCTGAATCTTCATCCATTTTAAGACATGTTACTTTGACTTTCCAGACATCTGGTGACATAGGTTCTTTGACTAAACCAAAAGATTGTTGGAATACTCCTACACAAGAATTCATTTTGTGAAGAGTCCCACAAACCAATATAAGCTTCAAACCATGGGGATCCGACCTGGTCTTCACACCTTCTGTACTAGCATTAGGGCTAAACAAGAGGTGACTTTCTGTACAAAACTGTAAAAGTCGATTTGCCACATGGCAATTGCCACAGACAATATCTTCTATTTTAGAATCCCTGCTGTTCATAGACAGAAACAGCTGAGCATTGTCCCAGAAATGCTGAGGTCCAAAGTCATGTACAATCTTGCTGAAGGTTGGATTGTAAGAATTTATCATTTCATAAAACCATCTCACAAAAGCCTCTGCATTTTGCTGATCTGAATGGGTCATTGAAGCACTGGCTGAATGGTTCATATTCACATTTATAATTATATTGGTGGGGCTGTAGTTGAATACTGACTGGACATATTGGACTTTCTCTGGAGTTACCTGTAAAAATTAATTAAATAAATTTAGCTATGTAGGTATAAACTGGAATTAAGTTCATGTAAAGTCTCAAAATTCTGAAAACATATACCACATTGGATTTGACAAACCAAATGGAACTTGACTGTGGATTTTCACATAAGATAGAATCTAAGCAGTTAGAAGACAGTAGTAATACTTAAGTAGATTAATTTACATAAACTATGACTGCAAGTATAAATATAAAATATGTGTTTTTTTTTAAAGATTAAGATCTAGGCCACTTCTTTTTTTCCAGCTCATCAATATTTTCATATGTGTGTTCTGTGTCACTGTGCCTACTTTTCTTTTGTATTAGTCATATTATTACATTGGCACATTATGTAATTGAATGATTAAGTTTTACATCTATAAAAAAAAAATTCAAGTTTTGCCAGTTGAATAAGTTTTTTGTACCTGAAATGCATATTGTTAACACTTATGAGTATACATCTTTTAAGCAACATGCAAAAAAATTCTATGCTGTTGAAACAGATTCAAAGATCCAACATAGGGGACTGGTTGATTTTGATCACTAAAGAACTTGAGGTGGAAAATGCTTTTATGTGGGTCAGTATTAAAATTAAAATGAGAACTTGTTCAGAAGGCAAGAATAATATAATAATAATAATATATAATAAGATTGCAAATGAGCTAAGAGGAACTTTGAAAATCAATAATGTTCCTAACAACTAAATAACACCAAAAATAAAAAGTTCCTGTTTAACAAATAAAATTCAGATGCAATGTGCGAGTGAATGGTCAATTAAACATGACGCCCACATCATAATGATTGCATCACAATTAATAAAGTAAACCGAGCTTGTAGTCCCAAAAAATAATAAGGAGGACTTAGGCATGATAGCACTAGAATTATTAAAGCTGTATAGAGATGCTGACATAACTAATCAATACCTGCCTGCAATCAAAAGTGTTCCACACACAAGATTGGGAAAATGTGCGATTATAAAACTACCAGCTCCCAAAAAAAAAGGAACACCCCAGATGAATGTGGACATCACATTTCTTCTACCTGCCTGCAATCAAAAGTGTTCCACACACAAGATTGGGAAAATGTGCGATTATAAAACTACCAGCTCCCAAAAAAAAAGGAACACCCCAGATGAATGTGGACATCACATTTCTTCTATCTTCAATAACTTTTTTTTTTTACATCATCCTAGTTAATTGTCACTTTGAAATAAGGAGGTTAAATGGCAATTAGAGTCATTGAATTTGAAAACTATTCTAGTATTTGGTATTGCAAAACAATAATTGTTATTTTTAGCACTTCAATTTATTCAGAACTTAATCTATGTAGAAAAGTCAATTTCCACCTGATCAACAACACTAATCTCAACTACCAAGTAAGTTAGTGGAACATGGACAATCTGACAGAAGTGTTTCAGAAACTTAACTTCTTGCATTCATAATATGATATACAAGATACATCACAGACCTGACACAGAAATCAATAGCAATAAATTATAAGCCACTCAAGTGAGTGGTAAGACTAACAGGCAGCCCTTTTTAAAAGGACCATGCACAATTAGACAACAGCCTTGAAAATGCCATAAAATAGACAAAAAAACAGAAACATGTGGAAATCATCATGTTAGCCTTTATGTGTGTGTGTTGGGGGAGGAGAAGAAGTTATAATAAGATATTGTCAAAAATAAATAAATTTGATATATAAGCATTTAAAAGCAACAAAAGTAAATCCAATTGCATTTTATTTTCTTATCTATTTCAATAAATGTTAATGAATTCATGGTAAAAGATAAGCAAATTCTAACAAATGCTACCTTTTTGTCCTGATGATGAAAAGCTTCATCTAACTTTGGAAAGCTGCAGTCAGTAGAGGGCACAACAGCTTTCCTGTTAGGTGATGCAGCATTTGACTGCTTATCCAACACATTTTCTCTAGGGGATTTCACTCCCTTGTCCTGGGATGATTCTGTCAACAAAGACTTGATTATATGTGCCACAAGTCCATCTTTATCAGCATTTCGAGGAACAGACAGACCTTTGCTAAACACATACTTCAGAAGAACATCTTTACTAATCTTTCTGCGCTTAAAAAATTCATCAATGGATTGGGTGAATGCTAAAATAGCTTTTTCTGCATCTGAAAAAAAAATTTATATTGGTTAGTTCGACTACATTTTTAAATATCAACTTTTAAAAAACTCTTTGTAAAATTTTTGGATGGTAATATTGTTTTTTGTTGGTTTTTTGGGGGGGAAGGGGGTGGTTGTTTTTTTGGCAAACCAGCTATCGGATTTAGGCAGAGCTGTCGCGTGGGCCATGCCTGAAACCATGACTTTTCAAACCCCAAAAAGTCAGCCCATAGTGCAGTTCAGAAGCAGAAAATTAACTGACATTGTGACATTTTGAATTAAACTGATTTTTTGCAAAAATATTTGTAATTAACTTCTAAAGTAACTGTTAACAACTACAGCGACGAGACCATGACAGGCCATTCCTGCTAATAAAAACAAGAACACAGTACAGGAACTCCTAATCCTGCCAAAGACAATCAGGGACTGGAACAAGCTTCCAAAAGCAACAGTTGAGGCGACTACGCTTGATATATTTGCGTCTATTGCCTCCTGTCATACAAACCCCAGTTCATAATACTGTCGCTGAGTAGCCCTTGCAACCAGTGAAGTATCCTCTTCAAAACCATGCAGAATTACATTGCCAACCCCTCTGAAACATAGGAGCCAGAATGATCAATATATTGATCGTGGGCCCTCAAAATATAGAAGAAGTTAATTATATACAATAACACTGAAAAATGCATAATGAAAAAATTCTCAATGTTCAACTACCTGTAAATATCATTAGAATGCATCCAAATTTTGAAGAAAAATTCTTTTCATACTACGAACAATTTTGAAGCATGAGAGGATGAAATTTAGAAGTCAACAACAAACAAAATTAATAAAGTTGATAGCAAAAAAAATATAACATAGCATGCAAAGTCTAAGTAATTAACAAACCTTTCCTGTTGTAAGTGTCAACAACTCTGTTGCTGCTGGTGGATGCTAAGGAATGTAGATCTTCATCATTTAAATGAACCAGTATTTCTTTGCAAATGCACTTCTCCACATCATTCAGCATTTTAATGATGTTAGGCCTAGCCTAAGAAATATAAGATTAGGATTATTTCTGTAACTTTAATTAAAAGTATTTTTAAAACAATTATAATTAAATTAAATAAAGGCTAGGCGGCACGTACTGACAGTGACACTGTACTGGGTCATTGTTTTTATAGTTAGCTATAGACTAAGTCTGTGGTCTGCAACGTGAGCCGCATGCTGCTCTTTAGAGACCTGAGTGCGGTTCTGCCAGTCGACCACAAATCGGTTTTGAAACATGGTTCTTGACAAGTTTTGAAAAGATATTTGTCTATCAAAAATTTGTTAATCCTCCTGCTGCTGATTTTTGGCTCTTTTTTAGTAATGAGTTTGCCGACCACTGAGCTACGTCATTCTCAATGAGTCAAACTCATTAACATTAGTCAAGTTTTTACATTTTAAATTTTAATGTTACTATTTTATAATTTAAGTTTTAAGTGAGCCTACTTTTACTTGCACTTGCACAAGCTCAAACTGTCAATATTGTCATATCATTGAATTTAACAACACAACTTGGTGTACTTAAGACTTAAGCTGCTAGTAGTAGTAGTAAATTTAGAAAAGTTACTAATACAGTACTGAGTAAGTAAGGTAAGAAGACCAAGTAACTGTTTTAACATTTTCAACTCTGACAAAAGTAAGACTTCCATCATGTCTATGCCATTAAAAAGTTATATCTAAATCTAAATGTAAATGACAACAATAATATTGAAAGGGGAAATGTTAAAATGAAGTGAAATCATTAACAATTAGTCAATTAGCCTGCTATAATTCGAAGTAACTGTTGAATTTTGTTATAGTCATAGACATAACCTTAAATACGTCTTCGTCTATAAATAGTCTATAGTATACTATAACTATAATGAATTTTATTCTATATATTATATACTGTATGATTCGGACATGACTCATTCTGATTCTGGTTAATCTTGCAATTCAGGTGCATATTTTATTTCTGATCGAATTTCATATTATCGCATGTAAACTTACGTGTATTCTTCATTAAATTAAAGCCAGGCAGTGATAGTTAACTTATACTGAATTATGCATCACTTAATCTTCGTTTTATTTCTAAAGCGTCTTTGAACAACCCTCAACCTTCCATAGTTCCATTTGTTTTTTATTTTATTTTTAACCCTGTTGCCAGATTTTTGATCAGCTATAAGTTGGAATGCCAAACAAAATTTTCAAATTGTAGCCATGTTCACAAAAAGAATGCAATACGGGGGGAGGAGGGGTGTTGAACTTAAATAGATGTTCCGTTATTTTATAATTTATAGGGGCCCAACATTCTTTTTTTTCTCTTATATTGGGTATAAATATAATTTATTTATTTATTTATTTAGGCATTTTTATATAGCGCTTATCATAAAGCTCTAAGCGCTTTACAATTATTAAAACATGTAAACTAAGTAAATACAAATGAGACACTAGGATAGTAACTACTATTCTATAGAAACAATGAAAATGGCTATAAAACGAGGACACTTTGACACTTCAGGATCAACCCGAAACAGAAAATGAGGTAGGGCAAGGAGGGTGCATCACAGGTCATAGGCGGACCTAAACAGATGAGTTTTAAGGGACTTTTTGAAAATGGACGAGGTTTCACTATGACGTATATGGAAGGGGAGCTGGTTCCAGAACGTGGGCCCATGGAAGCAGAAGGAGCGTTCACCGATGGTCTTAGTTTTAGTTCTTGGGATTGAGAGGGTTCTACTGTCAATGGAAGAACGTAGTTGTCTTGTGGGGATGTAAGGAAGCAACAGTTCAGAGAGATAGACAGGAAAGTGAGGGTCAGTGAACGAGTTGAAGCAAAGATTCCAATCAAAGGCTCCTGAATGGGTAATTGGAACAAGATCAAACTTAGTACACATGACATAATAACATACACTTGATGATCCATATTCAAAAACCGGTACTGAAGTTTTATGAACTCATAATTTTAATTTTTCCTAAGACTAGCCAATATACATGCCAATTTTATATAAATTTATTTTTTGAACTTGCTTTTAGTTTGAAAAGTTAATCATCAATAAATAATTTTGGTATAGTATAATTTAAAATAAATCTAATTTCTTGTTTCGCCTTTTGTGAATATTCTTTCAGTTGAAAAATTGCAATCTGGCATTTATGGTGAATTTAAAAAAAAAAAAAAAAGAAAATGAAGAGATCGTTTACGCTATTGGCTATGTACAGCGCTATTGGCTATGTACAATGGGGCTGTACAAAATATTAATTTTTTTAAATCAATAAAAATTAAAGTTAAAGCTATTGCCATCATTGCAGTACAATTTATTAGTTAGAGCTAACTAATACTGTCTGGACTAAATTTTATAAAGAATACACGTAAGATTACACGCGATAATACGAAATTCGATCAGAAACAATATATACAGCTGAACTGCAAGATTACCCTGATTCTGATACTGATTTGAGTATGACAGTATGACATAGATACTTCGATGAAAGAAGGGAGACTACTATTTTTTTTGTATCGGAAATGGGCGTCGGCGCCGAAAAATCCGAGTTTTTAATTTTCCGCTGTGTGTGTCTATTTATTATTAAATTAGTTCTTTCCACGTATATTTGAGTTCCGTTTCCGGCCTTATAATTTGGAAGACATCTTGGCCTACATTTCTAGCCAGTTATTTTGCTTTTTTCAATCGACCTTTATTTTGAAAATCTTTGGTATATATAAGGCATCTTCGCATACAAAATTTTTTGTGAAATAATAAGATAAGGTCCCTTTTTATTAAATCTGTATGAGCATTAGATATTGATCTATATCTGTGCCAAGTTTCATTGATGTAGGTCGTGTCCCACGTTTGTTACACTTGTCACAGTGACCCATATCACCATTAGGTGGCTCAGCCTAATTTCGACATGGCTTGGGCCACGCCCCCTTTTTAATGGCGGAAGTTGCCGATACTTAGGAAATATTTAATTATTACCACTATATACATCAAAATATTTTATATTTTGTGTTTCAGAATGCATTTTGAAGACATTTAAACTGGAAATGTTTTAATTTGAGCTTTAAAAACCCTGCAGAGTCCATAATATAAATGATCAGAATTTTCCGTGTGCAACACGTTGTCATTGGCAACCATTCACAGCCACTTGCATAACGGCTACGTTGTAGTACTATCTCAGAGTTTCATTCATAAGAGTTTGCCGTGTGCAAAAGCTATTAAACCATTGGTCAGGGAAAGCTT